AGCTCTGTCAAGAGCACTATTAAGATTAATGTTCATTTCTGTAAGGTTGTTCTTAATGTCATCACTCCATTGTTTTCTGAGGTCTTCCACTCGCTCTATACCTGTGGTAACGTTTTAGTGTGGCTCGCTGTGGCGAATAGTACCAGGGTATTTTTGTTAGGTGTCCAAACCACTTTATTTATTGTTCTTTGGTTACCTGAAAGACTGGCTTTATTCCTAGCATTCGTCTGATTTCATGATTTCGTATTTTGTCTTTCCTTGAAACTCCTGCAGCTCTTCTAAGGCATTTCATCTCTGTTGTCACAGTTTTACGTTCATTGGATGATGTAAGTGTCCACGTTTGGCATTGATAGCATAGTGTGCCAGTCGATCTTTAAAAATATGTTTCTTTCACTATGTGTTTGATAAGCAACAAAATTGTATTTAAAAAATGACTAAATAAATCAGGCGATATCTCCATTATAAAGGCTGGATACAATGGATCTCTAAGAAGCTTTGTCTCTCTCCCTCACAGTACAATCTCGGAGGCTGCCGTTTATCCATCGCGCGATGTTATTCCCAAATATATATGTCCACCTATTGATAACTTGATTTTAGTACAGTTATTACATGAAACGGTATGACTTCAAATATGGCAGAAAGTGTTAAGTTGCCTCTTTAAAAAATAAAAAAATTATAAAATCAGCAACTTTCTTCTCATTTCACGTCTTTTCAGAATCTGTTTATCTTGTTGTTTTTGTTTCCATGAAATATAATAGTTTCTGCTCATGTTATTTTTTGGGTGTGTGTGGGGGGGGGGGGGGGGGAATTGCTTGTAATCCCAAAAAAGTTTCTAAACGGATGCCAGTACTCAGCACATCATCTATGCTACAGCAGAGCTGGAATAGGATGTCTACAAAAAAGATGCCGGTACTGCGCACTGTTGTGTCCCGTCAGAAAAAAGTCCATGCAGTTTACACCCACATCTCAAGATACTTAATTAGACTTTCTAACTGCTTGTTCATTTTCCCTGGTCTCTTAACTATGCTGCATAGTTGAGGATAAATAACATATTCTACAATTCTCATGTTTAATGTGTTGTTTCACCTCTCATGATGTAAGTAAACATTAATGCTGTTGAATATATTTTTGGCCTGTCCTATTCGCTTTTTAGTTTTTATTTAACTTCTGCAATCATCTAATAAGGAAGACAACGAGAGAAGATGCTTGAAAGTCTTGTTGCATGGCATGGAGGTGTGTCGGCACACGAACTGATACATGCTGCAGGAGATCGCAGATTATGGAGAGGCATGATCGCATACGCCAGTCGGCAAGGCACCTGATGATATTGATGATGATGAATCATCTAACAGTAGCAACACATTATAATATCCCCCGGCTCGTCGTTATGTTATTTATAATAGTAGTAATTTAACGAAATCCTTCCTGTACAAACCATTCATTGCACTGGAATATGAAGAGGCGTTTGCATTCTCGTTTGTTTCGATTATTGAAAATGGTTTATTATCGACCGGGTGTCTAAATACGTTTGGCTGTGTAATGTTGTCAACGGCTTATCTGGCAACCCGGCCGTGCCTATCAAACCAACACCAAGTGTGACAGGCAACACCTCCACAGACCCACCACCAGAACGGGGATCCATTCTGTGAGTCTACACGCTTAAAAACCTCGCTTTCGACTGAAAATTAAAGTTGATATTTAGCAAAATGTTTAAAGAGCTGACTTTTGAGACCAAGTCTGACAGAAAACATCCCTGACCCAATACAAGACTAGGGATCCATTATATTTAAACAACAATTTGAAACAATATATCCTGTTCAACCCAACCCATCCGTGTGTTTTAATCGGGACACTTTTATTGTTTGTTTCAGTAATGGGTATACTATCGGTGCCTATCAATTATGTTTGGTTATTTAGTATTCCATAACTTTTTTATTAATTGTATAGGATTGTAGGAGTAGATTGTCTAGTTAAATTTTCAGTATTTGTATTTGAAGTATACTTTCAAATTAATCAGTTATCTGTAGTAATTATTAATTAATTAATTATGTTATAGCATTGGTACTTTGCAAATATTTAATATGATCTGATATGCCATTATTATTCTGTGGTAAGATATATAAACATTTCATATGCTGGCCCCATATCTTGTCATGTACTGTTAATCCTCTCCTGTAATTCTATACTATAGAGTCATCTTGTCACAGCATGTTTTTTTTTTTTTTCCCAGTTGTCTTAGGCTTTTTGCACAGGACCATATATATATATTTTTTTTTCAGGGGGAGTTCTTTAGAATTTATGTTCCTTGCATTATAGTAGTTGTATAGTAAATAATGTTCAGTATTATTATTTATTTGAGTACAGAACAGATGTCTTATTATTATCATTGTCCCTTTACTCTGATCACCAGTTGCTGTTGACTCTGATCAGCTCCCTCCACCATTTGACAGTCAGTTGCAATGGACTTCATGGATGCATGCCTAAGACTAAGACCAGTCCAGTCAGTCAAGTTCTGTGTCAAGGTCCTTCTTGATGTGCCTCTTCTCCTTTCCCCTCTACTGAGCTCTGTAGTATTGTTTTTGTGGGGCTGTTTGATCTTTTTACATGTCCATGCCATTGTATTTTCCATCTTTTCATTGTAGTTAAAAGAGGCTCATAGTTGCCAGTATGCTGGATAATTATCCGACGAACCTCGTCATTTGTGATATGGTCTCTATATGGTATGTCAAGAATTTCTTTTAATGATCCAATTTCCAGTGCTTGCATCTTCTTTCCGAGTTCAGCTGTTAAATGATCTTATTTCCAGTGCTTGCATCTTCTTTCCAACTTCAGCTGTTAAATGATCTAATTTCCAGTGCTTGTATCTTCTTTCCAACTTCAGCTATTAAATGATATAATTTCCAGTGCTTGTATCTTCTTTCCAACTTCAGCTGTTAAATTATATAATTTCCAGTGCTTGTATCTTCTTTCTAACTTCAGCTGTAAAATGATCTAATTTCCAGTGCTTGCATCTTCTTTCCAATTTCAGCTGTTAAATGATCTAATTTCCAGTGCTTGCATCTTCTTTCCAATTTCAGCTGTTAAATGATCTAATTTCCAGTGCTTGAATCTTCTTTCTAAGTTCAGCTGTTAAATGATCTAATTTCCAGTGCTTGCATCTTCTTTCTGAGTTCAGCTATTAAATAATCTAATTTCCAGTGCTTGTATCTTCTTTCCGAGTTCAGCTGTTAAATGATCTAATTTCCAGTGCTTGCATCTTCTTACCGGCTTCAGCTATTACATGATCTAATTTCCAGTGCTTGTATCTTCCTTCCAAGTTCAGCTGTTAAATGATCTAATTTCCAGTGCTTGTATCTTCCTTCCAAGTTCAGCTGTTAAATGATCTAATTTCCAGTGCTTGCATCTTCTTTCTGAGTTCAGCTATTAAATGATCTAATTTCCAGTGCTTGTATCTTCTTTCCAACTTCAGCTGTTAAATGATCTAATTTCCAGTGCTTGTATCTTCTTTCTAACTTCAGCTGTAAAATGATCTAATTTCCAGTGCTTGCATCTTCTTTCTGAATTCAGCTATTATATTATCTAATTTCCAGTGCTTGCATCTTCTTTCCAAGTTTCAGCTGTTGAATGATCTAATTTCCAGTGCTCGTATCTTCTTTCCAACTTCAGCTGTAAACGTCCGTATTTCATAACAATAAGCAAACCTACTAATAACTAGTGCTCTGAGCAGTCATAGCTTAGTTTTACACAAAATGTTTTTGGATCTCCATAATATATGCTGTTTGGCAAGGACTTATGTTGTCTAGGCAAGCCTAGATTGATTTATGATCTGGACTCTCGATCAATTAAAACAGAAAATAAATATTTTGAAAGATTTACTTGTGTAAGTCTTCTTCTTCTTCTTCAGCATTTCAAGCCCTTTAGGTTCATTGCTGCAGATATCATCCGCCTCCATTCATCTCTCTGGTTGGCTTTCTCTTTCCACTTGGTGACATCAAGTGTTTGTGGGTCTGTCTGGACCTTATCTTTCCATTGTCTTCTTGGTCTGCCTTGTGGTCTTGACTATTCATCTCCCTTGTGGATACAGTTTTTCCTTCTCTACCTGTAAGTCTACAGCTGAATAAAAAAATTTCTTATAAATAAATTAACAGGCAGTTTTGATCTGCCTTTATTTCTTTGACTGGGATTTTTGGTACAAGGACATTTAGAGTATATTTTTACCAGGTTTTCTGTGTGTGTCCTACCTGGCAGCATCCTTTTCTCCTCACCTCATGATTCATCAAAGATTCTTTTTAGCTTTCTCTTCAAGTACCCCATTAGTGATTACTTCACACCATTGTATTCTCTTTATTCTGCACACTATCAGTTAATGAATGTTCAGAGTTTATTACTATGTTTTAGATCTCCATACAGTTTATTGCTTGTTTTGTATATCTCCCAGTAAGAGCTATTGTAATGGATCCCTCATGTCAGTTTCTTGTCTATGTCAGGTGAGGGGATCATGCGTGGCCCAGCAAGAAATATATATAGAACACGTTCAATATATGTTATACTAGACACATACAGACACATACGATTATTCAATTCAGTTCTCGTTATGCCTAGTGGCACATGAGGCTTCAGAGAGGACTTTCCATGCTTTCCTGTCCTGTGCAATCTTCAATGCAGTTTTCCATGTCAGAGATGCCACACTCAGGTCACTTTCCATCGTTCGTCTCCATGTTGTTTTTGGGCGACCCTTTTTTCTCTTTCCCTCTGGTATCCATGTGAGAGCTGTTTTGGCAGGTATATCAGGATTCATTCTCATAACGTGGCCAAGCCATTTCCATCTTCTCTTGGTTATCATACTGTCTAGAGTTTCTTGGTTTGTGACTTGAAGTAGTTTAGTGTTCAAAATTGTATTTGGCCAGAAAATTTTGATAATTCTACGCAGAAATTTGTGGTGGAAGGTCATTCTCCAGCATTCTGCTCCATAAAGTAAGAGCTATTGTAAATGACCCCTCATGTCAGTTTCTTGTCTATGTCAGGTGAGAGGATCATGCGTGGCCCAGCAAGACATGACCAGCATATTCATCTCCATCATTGTGATTTTCATCACGATCTTCATTCCATCTTGCTCGTTTCCACTGCGTCATGTAGGAGGTGAGAAAAAAGCCATGCAACATAGCTCGGGGAAGCGAGACTTGATCCTCTGTTGGGTGATGCAGGTCAGGAGAAGGGAGATGGCTTGTCACTGTGATCTAGAGGGAGATCAGCTTGTTGCAGATAAACATGAGAAACTGAAGAGTGGAACGAAGGGCAGCTACAGGCTGGGACAGACATTCCAGCAGCAGCCAGCATGTAGTTGTCAGCATCAGCATCGTGAGCAGCATATATCAGGTAGCAATTGTACTGTTCACTGTTGAACTAGACACATACAGAACACTGTTGAACTAGACACATACAGAATATTATTGAAATATACACACACAGCATACTGTTGAACTAGATACATACCAAACAATGTTGAACAAGACACATCCAGAACACTGTTGAACCAGACACATCCAGAACATTATTGAACTAGATATATACAGCATACTGTTGAACTAGACACATACAGAACATTATTGAACTAGACACATACAGAACACTGTTGAACTAGACACATACAGAATATTATTGAACTAGACATATACAGCATACTGTTGAACTAGACACATCCAGAACACTGTTGAACTAGACACATACAGAACACTGTTGAACTAGACACATACAGAAGACAATGATAAACTAGAAATATATAGAACACTGTCAATATATGTTATACTAGACACATACAGACACATAAGAAACACAGTGATAAACTAGACACTTATAGAACACTACTGAACTAGACACATACAGAGGACAGTGATAGACTGGATACATATAGGACACTGTTGAACTATACACATATGGGAACAGTGATAAATTAGACACATATATAATTTTTTTTGCTGTATTTGGACATACAATATATCAAATAAAAGATAAATGAGTGCAGAATAAATCTAAACTATTTAAATGTCAGTATTACAACAAAATATCAATAAAATCACACAACATTCAAGGATGTTAGACACATCTGAAGATTATTGACATAAAAAATTGTTTGCTTACCTTACTTTTAACTTGTTCAGCAGCACTGCTATCCAATTCTAAGAATGCACATGCCTTCCTTCTCTGCTCAGTTGTGTATAAGCTAGTTTTTATTTGAAACAATTAATTTAAATACTTTGGATGTTATGATCATTTTGTATGACAAATCAGATTTAACATAAAAAGAAAAAAAATCGGGAAAACAGCCTATCGAAACATTGATCAGATTGAAATATTTTGTTCAATTTTCATATCCTAAAATAAATTATCGCCAATAGGTTTGTCACTCAGATATCAGTCATACTATCAAGACTCTTTTTACCATCTGGCAGAGATTCATCAGCGACAGAGCAGTATGAACAATCCTAGAACCTTTTCCCTCATCATTTAGTATAGAAAAATTTCATAAAAATGGTATCCCATCTAAATACAATTTTTTAAAATCAGAAAATAATGCACTGACCACGATGAATTTCACAACCAAAGGACTTCCTGTTGTTAATCCTAATTGTTCAAAAATTTGTTCATAAAAGTTCTTTTTCCCCCCAAATGGAACAAAATTAGAGTCTCTATCATACGTTAATATACTGGCGATTCGTCTTTAAAGAGTTAATGTTGTTCACATTAATCTTGTTTATTACTGTTTTCGTGTTAGCCATGTTTTTTTTTGGTTAGTCTTATGTTGATCTTGTTCATTTTTGTTCATGTTGATTATACTTTTCATGTTATCTTCACGTTGATAATACTTTTCATGTGTGGTCATGTTTTTCATATTTGTTCAAGATGGTCATGATGTTGTTCAGCTTAATTTTATTGGTCATATTTGGTCTTATTGTTTCGCATTCTTGTTGGTCAGGTTGTTCATGTTTATGAATATCCTTTTTTTTCCCCCAGCTTTTTCCAGTGAAGTTGGTCTACACCTGGTTCATACTTTTGAGCAATTCCATGATCATTTTCTATTTTGCCTTGTGGATATCATTGCTTCTGAAGATGCATCCTATAGAAATACATCTTTCCAGTCAGAGACTGCATCACGAATACATAACCTTACCCAAGATCTGTCTCACAGAAATCCAACGTCTAGAAAATTCAAGTCAGAGATTATGTCACAGATTCACAGACTTCACGCAGATTTTAAATCCACGGATAGGTTGTTGTTTGACAGTCATAAAAAAATGGTTGAAAACCGTTTACAACAACACGATGAAGTTTTGTGGTTTAGTTCTGAGTATGTTCACCATCATCATTCTCGATCACAGTCACCAGAATTGAGGCATTTAGGAAAACTACAGCATGCAGGCATGCAGATTCACTTGGCCAATAGAGAACAAGCCCAATATGTCGGTGATACGGGACAACCTAAATATGTCAGTGATACAGGACAACCCCAATATGTCAGTGATACGGGACAACCCCAATATGTCAGTGATACGGGACAACCCCAATATGTCAGTGATACGAGACAACCTAAATATGTCAGTGATACGGGACAACCCCAATATGTCAGTGATACGGGACAACCCCAATATGTCAGTGATACGGGACAACCCCAATATGTCAGTGATACGAGACAACCCCAATATGTCAGTGATACGAGACAACCTAAATATGTCAGTGATACGGGACAACCTAAATATGTCAGTGATACGGGACAACCTAAATATGTCAGTGATACAGGACAACCCCAATATGTCAGTGATACGGGACAACCTCAATATGTCGGTGATACGGGACAACCTAAATATGTCAGTGATACAGGACAACCCCAATATGTCAGTGATAGGGGGCAAACTCAGTATGTTACAAATGTAGGACAAGTGCAGTTTATACGAGATACGCTAGACCCCAAACCTGTCCGCTCTCAGTCAGATTATAATCAGGACCTGCTACTTTTAAAAAACTCATTAGCGCAGATGTCAGATACTCCAGTCCATGATGAAGCCAGCGAGTCTTCTGGGAGCAGATCCATGCAGCCATTCATCTTATCCAAGGTAGATGATCTGAGACAGATAAAGAAGTACTCACTCAATGAGAGTCACCTGCCGGACCAGCTAACACAGTCCAGTGATAACATTCTCCATAGAAACAAATCTATGCAATTCTCTGTTCCTTCTGTGTCCAAGCAGTCAGTGGATGTAAGGTTCAATGATCCCATGTTTCTGAACCAGTGGCACCTGGTGAATAGTTTGACCACAGGGATGGACCTCAATGTGACCGGTGTGTGGATGCACAATTACACAGGTTATGGGGTTACCGTTGCTGTGGTTGATGATGGCTTGGAGTGGATGAATCCAGACTTGAAGGTACGTAGACTTGTATAAATTCATACTTGGAGGTACATTGACTTGTATAAATTCAGTGACTTGTCTGAATTTATGCCTGGAGATGTGTAGACTTCTTTGAATTCAGACTTGAAAGTATGTTGACTTGTCTAAATTCAAACTTGGACGTATGTAGAGTGGTCTGAATTCAGACTTTGAGGAAAGTAGATTTGTCAGAGTTCAGACTTGAAGGTGCATAGACTTGTCTGAATTCAGACTTGGGAATCATAGTCTTGTTTGAATTCAGACTTGGAGGTACTCAGACTTGTTTAAATTCAGACTTAAGGATCATAGTCTTGTTTAAATTCAGACTTGGAGGTACTCAGACTTGTCTGAATTCAGACTTGGATGTACATAGAGTTGTCTCAATTCAGACACGCATTCTGCAAGTTTCTGTCTTTCGGTTGTTGTCCAAGTACACCTCATGAGTTTCTTTAAACACCCCTGAAACTCTTGTTTGCTTCCTCATTCTGTTTTCTTGTCAGTTCCATTCACAGACTTTTCTGACTATTCTTTATAGAAAGTTTACTTTCCTGTCCCATTCGCTGTCTAGGTGTAGTCTTGTATATATTTGTGTTCAGCAATTTGGTTTTTGGGAATATATTGTTGGACTGATGTGCCACATGGCATGGATAAGAAGATGAAGAAGAAGTTCAGTGAAACAGAGATAAGAGGTTGTGTCTGGTGCCTTCTTTTTCTTCTCCTCCTCCTCCTCCTTCTTCTTCTTCTTCTTCTTCTTCTTCTTCTTCTTCTTCTTCTTCTTCTTCTTGTTCTTCTTCTTCTTCTTCTTCTTCTTCTTCTTCTTCTTCTTCTTCTTCTTCTTCTTCTTCTTCTTCTTCTTCTTCTTCTTCTTCTTCTTCTTCTTCTTCTTCTTCTTCTTCTTCTTCTTCTTCTTCTTCTACCACTACTTCTTTTGCTTCTTCTTCTTCTTCTTCTACTTCTTGAATGTTGCTTTCATCCCATTGACAAATACATGGAAATGGAGAGGTTGACAAATTGACAAAAGAAGGTGGAAGGTTACCCCAATCTGATATAGAGATAACAAACGATGTGACCAAGAGATTTATAAGTACTACTTATAGTACCAAGTGAGATTCTTAACATCCAGAACACAAGAAGAATAATGATATACTACCAACTTGACCAAATAGAACAAGTAGTGATCTTTAGACTATACTAAGAATATAATAGGCTGAAACACCACTTGTTCAATAAGCTGAAGACAGTAGACACATTCTATTGTAAACTGATAAATTTTAAAATGAGGACTAAACACTTGCTGCAAGAGTGTCCAACATATACAGAATAGAGAAAATTATTCTGGCTGACACCAGCTCCTTTTGAGGACACTGGAGTGTCAGCAAAGTCAAATTGACTGCTGATTTCTGTGAATATATTCACATTGACATCTGAAGGTGTGAGAAAAGGAAAAACTCCAAGAATTTCAAACCTGGTAGACCCAAGAGATGCATAGTTCTAAAACCATGAAGTGAGGAGAAAAAGAAACCGACCCCAGACCCATCTATCTGTATGCTGCCAAACTGGTTGTCCTTAGACATCTATGTGTGAAATGTCATTTGAAACTATAGCAGGCGCAGAGGTCCACTGCAGTAAAATCTAACATGCAGGAACAAGTCTAACGTGAAAAAGAAGTAAGTTCTCATTTTGTGTAGATAATCAAAATCCCAGGTCTGTACGTTGCCTCCTACTGGCTAAGTTGGTGATGAATGAGAGGCTCGGTATATGGAAGTGAGGTTGAACAGTCATGAGCAGGAAGTGAGGATTCCTTGGATGAGCCCAGTTCCAGAACGCCATGTATTGGCACTGCATTTATGGAAACCTCCATGGATTTCAGGGAATGCTCATGTTCTGCCGATGCCTTCTCTTGATGGCTAAACAACATTACGTGGCTGCGCTGGACAGGCCTGATTGGGTGCACCACTTGTGAACTAGGAAACAAAGATTACCACATAGAAATGAGATTGTAGTGTCCCATGAAACTAACTGGGAGAGTAACCCGGGCAACAAAATGCCTGCAGAAGCTGGATGTGTCGGCCGAAAGGCGCAGATGTTGCAAGTGGGCACAGCACATAAAACCTTCAGATGAATACATAAGAAGTGTTCCAATTTTAATGTTGGTTGTTTGTGTCCCAGACTGAATGTTGGCTTCTTGTGACTTTCCCAGACTGAATGTTGGCTTCTTGTGACTTTTCCAGACTGAATGTTGGCTTCTTGTGACTTTCCCAGACTGAATGTTGGTTTCTTGTGACTTTCCCAGACTGAATGTTGGTTTCTTGTGACTTTCCCAGACTGAATGTTGGTTTCTTGTGTCCCAGACTGAATGGTGGTTGCTTGTGTCCCAGACTGAATGTTGGTTTCTTGTGACTTTCCCAGGCTAATTACAACCATGAAGGCAGCTGGGATATGAACGACGATGACCCTGACCCCACTCCAAATGCAAATAAATTATCCAATCATCATGGGACGAGATGTGCCGGGGAGATCGCGGCTGTTGCCAATAATAGCATATGTGGTGTTGGAGTTGCCTATCAGGCTCACGTATCTGGTAAGTACCCGTGTAGTTTGTGTGGCAAAAGATCTCGGTCTTTTATGTTTGCATAGCTGTCTAGATTGAATGGATACAGCCACTGATGTTTGACACATTCTTATATGTTTTAGATTAACTTTATACAGTTTGTGATGTCAGGTATGCATGAGCGGGTTCCAAATGAAAACATGAAAAGTGTGATAAAACTTACAGTAACCATGCCATTGTCTTGTAACCTCTCGGCCATGTTGTTAAGGATGTCAAGAATGTTAAACATTGACATCACAGTGCAGACGAACGTGGTGACATTATAATGACAGTTTAAAGATGACTGCCCCACTTGACATACACCAAAGAGGAGCAGCGCTCTTGTATCTATATTTTTTTTTTAAAAATTGGTGGAGGGTGACCTATAGAAAGTGAGACCTCTAGAAATTCATCGGTGAATGAAGATCCAGTATGGTGAGTCATGCATGGCAGTCCAGCATCCGAGAACTTTTTTGCTTGCAACCCACTCTGAGGTCACTACCCAGTATGCTTGATCCGATCGTCAACAGTGTGTCACAGAAGCCACGCCATTTTGAAACGTCCTACTCCACTCTAACACTTGCTGGACTCAGAAGGCATGCACATAACAATATTGATAGGTTACAAAACAACGGCATGGTTATAGACATTTCTGTTAAACTTGTAAAGTTTTCATTGGTAGCTGCCTCATACTCATGCATGTCTGTATAGTTTAAGACACTGCAGTCCCAGATATTCAGTTCAATGGCTTATACAGGATTTTTGTAACTGCTTTTAGCTTATTGATTGTTGGGATTACATTTAGATTTTTGATTGTTGTGATTAATTTCATAGATCAGTGACTATTGTGATTACTTACATAGATCAGTGATTGTTATGATTAGTTACATAGATCAATGATTGTTGTGATAACTTACATAGATCAGTGATTGTTGTTATTGCTTACATAGATCAGTTATTGTTGTTATTGCTTACATAGATCAGTTATTGTTGTTATTGCTTACATAGATCAGTTATTGTTGTTATTGCTTACATAGATCAGTGATTGTTATGATTAGTTACATAGATCAATGATTGTTGTGATAACTTACATAGATCAGTGATTGTTGTTATTGCTTACATAGATCAGTGATTGTTATTATTGCTTACATAGATCAGTGATTGTTGTTATTGCTTACATAGATCAGTGATTGTTGTTATTGCTTACATAGATCAGTGATTGTTGTTATTGCTTACATAGATCAGTGATTGTTGTTATTGCTTACATAGATCAGTGATTGTTGTTATTGCTTACATAGATCAGTGATTGTTATTATTGCTTACATAGATCAGTGATTGTTGTTATTGCTTACATAGATCAGTGATTGTTGTTATTGCTTACATAGATCAGTGATTGTTGTTATTGCTTACATAGATCAGTGATTGTTGTTATTGCTTACATAGATCAGTGATTGTTGTTATTGCTTACATAGATCAGTGATTGTTATTATTGCTTACATAGATCAGTGATTGTTGTTATTGCTTACATAGATCAGTGATTGTTGTTATTGCTTACATAGATCAGTGATTGTTATGATTAGTTACATAGATCAATGATTGTTGTGATAACTTACATAGATCAGTGATTGTTGTTATTGCTTACATAGATCAGTGATTGTTGTTATTGCTTACATAGATCAGTTATTGTTGTTATTGCTTACATAGATCAGTTATTGTTGTTATTGCTTACATAGATCAGTGATTGTTGTTATTGCTTACATAGATCAGTTATTGTTGTTATTGCTTACATAGATCAGTTATTGTTGTTATTGCTTACATAGATCAGTTATTGTTGTTATTGCTTACATAGATCAGTGATTGTTGTTATTGCTTACATAGATCAGTGATTGTTGTTATTGCTTACATAGATCAGTGATTGTTGTTATTGCTTACATAGATCAGTTATTTTTATGATTGCTTACATAGATCAGTTATTTTTATAATTGCTTACATAGATCAGTTATTGTTGTTATTGCTTACATAGATCAGTTATTGTTGTTATTGCTTACATAGATCAGTGATTGTTGTTATTGCTTACATAGATCAGTGATTGTTGTTATTGCTTACATAGATCAGTGATTGTTGTTATTGCTTACATAGATCAGTGATTGTTGTTATTGCTTACATAGATCAGTTATTTTTATGATTGCTTACATAGATCAGTGATTGTTGTGATTAGTTAAATAGATCAATGATTGTTGTGATAACTTACATAGATCAGTGATTGTTGTTATTGCTTACATAGATCAGTGGCTGCTACGATTGCTTGCACACATCATTGGTTGTTGGGATTGCTTACTCACATCAGTGGTTGTTGGGATTGCTAACACATCAGTGGTTGTTGGGATTGCTTACTCACATCATTGGTTGTTGGGATTGCTTACACACATCATTGGTTGTTGGGATTGCTTACACACATCAGTGGTTGTTGGGATTGCTTACACACATCATTGGTTGTCGGGACTGCTTACACAAATCAGTGGTTGTTGGGATTGCTTACACACATCATCGGTTGTTGGGATTGCTTACACACATCAGTGGTTGTTGGGATTGCCAACACAACAGTGGTTGTTGGGATTGCTTACACAGATCAGTGATTGTTGTGATTGCTTACATAGTTCAGTGATTGTGTGGGATTGCTTACACAGAACAGTGATTGCTATGATAACTTTTGCAGATCAGTAATTGTTGTGCTTACTTATATAGATCAGTTACTGATTAGATTATTGATTGTTGTGATTACTGAAAATCTGGAATTGTTTTGATTACTGATAGACTGATGATTGTGGCAACTTCTGACAGCTCATTATTTTTTGCAGGGCTGAGAGGTCCTGGATGGGTTAATGACGGACAGCATGGAAGCTGAAGCCTTCAACATGAAGATGGACATCAATGACATCTACAGCTGCAGCTGGGGCCCAGACGATGATGGGCGGACAGTGGACGGCCCCCATCTGATGGCGGCTAAAGCTCTTCAGCATGGAGTGGACTTTGGCAGACGGGGTTATGGCAGTATTTATGTCCTGGCGAGCGGTAATGGGGGAGAAAACCAGGACAACTGTAATTTTGATGGTTATGCAAATTCAATCTACACAGTTACCATCGGTGCTGTGGATGACAAAGGCAGCATGCCGTACTATGCTGAGGAATGTGCATCCATGTTGGGGGTCACTTTCAGCAGTGGCACCACCAACAAGAGGGACATAGTCACAACTGATTGGACTTTTGGAAACTCCGGGGGCTGTACTGAGAGTCATACCGGAACCAGTGCTGCTGCTCCTCTAGCAGCTGCCATGATAGCCCTGATGCTTCAAGCCAGACCTTGCTTGTCCTGGAGAGATGTCCAGTATATCATCATTCTCACTGCCCACATGGTCAATGGTCATAGTGCTCACTCACAGAAGAATGGAGCTGGTCTCTCACACAGTCATAAACACGGGTTCGGTCTGTTAAATTCCTGGAGATTGGTGAATGCTGCTCGAGTATGGCAGGCAGTCCCTTGGTTAACCTCATATTCCTACGCAGAATCAGACTTAAAATTGGTCATACCAAAGGGCAAAAATGTTTCTTTGACAGTCACTCATGTGGTCAGTGATTCGGCCATTCGAGGACTTAGCCTGTTTACTCTGGAAAATGTCCAGTTGACACTGACCCTGTCTCATCCTTGCAGAGGAAAAATTGGGGTGACCTTGACCAGTCCCGCTGGAACTATTTCTGTTTTAGCTGCACCAAGGTAAGTTCTGTTTCATGTAGACTTTTAAAAAAAAATGTATGTATTTGCTTTTATCCCTGGTGTTGAATCTTGTGTGCACATCTGTTTTCTAGTTGTGGCTTAGTGTGTCTGTACTTGTGCTTCCTTCCAACTCAGGCAGATGCACTGCTTCTTCAAAGGAAACCTCAGACCTATCTACACTGTCCAGGTCCCTGGTAGGGAACTCGTTTTTAGGATGATAGTGTAGAAATGTAGACAGATCTTGACCAGTAAGAGTCCTAGTCCACTAGCGCAGGTGGTGATGCATCTTTGCATCCTGCTGATAAGGGTGACTTGACATCACTATGTTGGTTTTGTAAGTCAGTTCAATGATTAGTTCATTCACGGTAGTTGCAGGAGGTCTGCCAGTAGGAGCCTGCTCCAAAAGTGTCCCTGACATTGGAGGGATTGTCTGTGATGTAATATTTAGTGTAGATCCTCACATGGGTAGGCCATTAGTGTAATGAGATGCTTTAGGGGTTTAACTGGCCGCTTGAGGCAGGCAATTATTAAACACTGCTATTTCAAGACTAAACTCATTTGGAAGGTAATGTTCCATTATACGTAGTTGAACAGCCTGAACAAAGCTTGTAGGGCATATTTGAATGTACCCCAGGGGATGTGATCTTACTGAGAAGACTAGTAATCTTAAGGCGTGTGAATAGGTTTTGTGTTTGGTCAAGTATGGGAGATAGTTGCATGTATGAGCTGTATGAAAAATAGGTGTGTATAAGCTGTATGTGTATTTAAGTGTGGGGGATATGTATGTGTTTGTAGTTAAATTTATCAATGGGTGTGTGTATAAGCTGTGTGTATAGTTAAGTGTGAAGGATAGGTGTGTGTATGAGAGTCTTCACCACAAATTATCTGCTTCCACTAAACCTGCACACAATCTCCACCAAAAATCATCTCCTTCCACTAAACCCACACACAGTCTCCACCACAATCATCTCCTTCCACTAAACCCACACACAATCTCCACCACAATCATCTCCTTCCACTAAACCCGCACACAATCTCCACCAAAAATCATCTCCTTCCACTAAACCCACACACAGTCTCCACCACAATCATCTCCTTCCACTAAACCCACACAGTCTCCACCACAATCATCCCCTTACACTAAATCCATACACAGTCTCCACCACAAATCATCTCCTTACACTAAACCCACACAGTCTCCACCACAAATCATTTCCTTCCACTACATTCACACACCAGTGATGCTTTTGCCTATCTCGTATCTGTCAGGCCAAAAGACAACTCCACTGATGGGTTTCATGATTGGACCTTCACATCAGTGAGATGTTGGGGGGAGCCCCCCACTGGAAGCTGGACGTTTAATATCACTGACCATGATTACACTGTGTTTGGTGAGTCTCTTTGTGTCTAGTTTTGTTGTAGGCAAGTTATAAGTAACTAAAGCTTTGTGAACTAGAATTAAGAATGTCTTTGCGGTGGGACCCCACAGGGGCATAGACATAAAGGCAGACCAAAAACACATATAGAAGGAAGCTAGAGAGGGAAGTTTAAAAACAAATTGATGAGGACATGGGTGAGCTGCCTGCAATAGCAAAGGATAGAACATCTTGGCCTGAGTTGGTTGAGGGCATATGCTCCGTTGAGAAAGGGGGGGGGGGGGGCAGAAGAAGAAAGATAAGTTTTGTTGGCAAGTTATAAATGTCTACATTTTGTAGGCAAGTTATAAATTTCTCCAGTTTTTTAGGCAAGTTATAAATCTCCAGTATTGTAGGCAAGTTATAAATATCTCCAGTTTTTTAGGCAAGTTATAAATATCATTAGTTGTGTAAGCAAGTTATATTGGGTTTTAAAGGGAAATTACAAATGTCTCCATTTTTTTTTAGAGAAGTTATAAATGTTTCCAATAGCTTAGGTAAGTTGTAAATGTTTCCACTTTTGTTTTCAAATTATATGTCTCCAGTTTTATAGGAAAGTTATAAATGATCCACTTTTATATGGAAGTTTTAAATGTTTCTGATTATTATTTCTGAAAATAATATAGTTGTGATTTCAAATAATGTGTCTCCAGTTGTGAATAGAAACGATATATCTTGAGTTTTTTAAATTTGAAATTATAAAAACATCAGTTAGTTTTTAAACTATTGAGTAACAGCAGTCACAGATATAAGTATTTATGTAATTGATTTCATCATCTATTGGCTGAGTGACTGAATAAGGTTGATGACACGTATATCTTATGCTAACATTTAAATAAATGTATCTGAGAGTTTTCTCCTAATCAGACAGCAGCTGTTATTGCTGTTCTGTTTTTGTTTGCAGACTGTTCTTTTATCTGTTAAGAGCATATCTTCTTCCTGCATGTGGCCTTACAAGGGAGGTTGGCCCATTATGGTTTACGTCTAGACTGTGTTATCTGCAGTTTTGACCCAACATATGCAGTTTTAGCAAACCTTTAATTGGGTGCCTTTTATGACATGCTTGTAATGGGCAATGGCTGGCTGTATTCTTTTTTTTTTTTCTCTCTCTAGCCAAAATGGGGTCCCAAAACCAACTCAAATGTTTATCTCTGTTTTCTTCTCTTCTTAACCTTCACCAGTTGTAAACTCCTGCAGTAAGTTCTGCTTGTTTATCCACTTTTGGACTTTGGTATTGTTCTAGAACTTGAGAATTGCATGCACATCTGTTTTACAGATCTGGCTATTTTGTACACAGACTGCTGGTTTCTTGCCTCTCAGACAGATGCAGTCTAACTTCACAGGATACACCCATAATTCATCGCCTTTTACGACATGGGTGGGGGCAGTGGGTCTGTTTGTGTGTGGTCAAGATGGGGCCCCGGAAACCCACATAGGGAGGGAAGTTCATCTAAATAATTTTAAGCTATGCATTCCAGGTCAAGGCTGGGTCACCAAGTGGAGACTGACCTTGTTTGGAACATCACTGAGCAGCCAGGAATTTGCTGACCGCCGGAAACTTGTGGAGTCTTCCATGAGTGGATATTTTTTCAATGCCAGTGCTCTGCCATGTCCACCACCACCGAGATATGATTCTGTCACTACCCCAGTCTCTGACAGGATTCTCAAAGTAAGACTTTCTCTGTGTTAAATTTGATGCTGTCTTTTCTTTTTCCTTTTTCTTTTCTGTCTGACTTTGTTACTGCTCCTTTTTTCTGTCTGTCATCTCTGTCTGCATCCATGGTTTTTTATTTTTTTAATCTCTCTTTTTATCGTCGGTGTCTATGGTTTGAGCGCTGCAAACAAGCTTCGTAATGTCGGGGTGCCGGCTCAATCCCAGCTGCCAGCCTTGCACCTTGCATTGGCTTCAACAGTGGTACCGAGAAGGCGCCAATCGCAAACTACTGGATGTAAATTTGCTTAGAAAAAGCACAACAGCCAAAAAATGCTGGAGTTGGTTCTGCAGTGTGCTGTAAAGGATACTCAACTAACTTAAATTAACTCTTTCTGTATTTTATCTGTCTCACCGTCTCTCTTTGTATCTCTAATTTATCTCTCTTTGTATCTCTCATCTGTCTTACTATCTCTCTTTGTATCTCTCATATGTCCCACTGTCTCTCTTTGTATCTCTCATCTGTCTCACTGTCTCTCTTTGTATCTCTCATCTGTCTCACTATTTGTCTTTGTATCTCTCAGATATCTCAATGTCTCTCTTTGTATCTCTCCTATGTCTCACTGTCTCTCTTTGTATCTCTCCTATGTCTCACTGTCTCTCTTTGTATCTCTCATCTGTCTCACTATTTGTCTTTGTATCTCTCCTATGTCTCACTGTCTCTCTTTGTATCTCTCCTATGTCTCACTGTGTCTCTCTTTGTATCTCTCATCTGTCTCACTGTGTCTCTCTTTGTATCTCTCATCTGTCTCACTATTTGTCTTTGTATCTCTCAGATATCTCACTGTCTCTCTTTGTATCTCTCCTATGTCTCACTGTGTCTCTCTTTGTATCTCTCATCTGTCTCACTGTGTCTCTCTTTGTATCTCTCATCTGTCCCACTGTCTCTCTTTGTATCTCTCCTATGTCTCACTGTGTCTCTCTTTGTATCTCTCATCTGTCTCACTGTGTCTCTCTTTGTATCTCTCATCTGTCTCACTGTTTCTCTTTGTATCTCTCATCTGTCTCTCTTTGTATCTCTCATCTGTCTCACTGTTTCTCTTTGTATCTCTCATCTGTCTCACTATTTGTCTTTGTATCTCTCATATGTCTCACTGTCTCTCTTTGTATCTCTCATCTGTCTTACTGTCTCTCTTTGTATCTCTAATTTATCTCTCTTTGTATCTCATCTGTTTCACTGTCTCTCTTTGTATCTCTCATCTGTCTCACTGTCTCTCTTTGCATCTCTCATCTGTCTCACTGTCTCTCTTTGTATCTCTCATATGTCTCACTGTCTCTCTTTGTATCTCTAATTTATCTCTCTTTGTATCTCTCATCTGTTTCACTGTCTCTCTTTGTATCTCTCATCTGTCTCACTGTCTCTCTTTGCATCTCTCATCTGTCTCACTATCTCTCTTTGTATCTCTCATCTGTCTCACTGTCTCTCTTTGTATCTCTCATCTGTCTTACTGTCTCTCTTTGTATCTCTCATCTGTCTCACTGTCTCTCTTTGTATCTCTCATCTGTCTCGCTATCTCTCTTTGTATCTCTCATCTGTCTCTGTGTGTATGGTCTCATATTTATCTCCTCTTTTCTTTCTTTACCTCTTATTGCACCTTATCTCATTTGTCTCATTCTGCACCTCATAGTTACCCCACACTGAGGATTTCTGTATTGCATTCACAGGTTCTCATCCTGTGCGGTGCTTTCTGCTTCATCATGGCTGTCTACGAGACATTTGAATACATGCTCTGTTACAATGATGAGAAACAGGAAGCGGCTCGCACCAGACGCTTGGTGGACAGAGCCCAAGAACTGACCCATACTACTAGAGTCCTGGACAGTGATGACCATCAGCTATCTTCTATGTCCAATGGCACATCGGAACCTAATCATGCACATAACTTAATAGATGATGAGGATGACATCTTTGATGCATCAGAAACTAGCAGATTGTTGACAAGTGACCGAAGGTGCTCAGGTCATGCTGGTGTCAGGGAACAAACCGAAGACATTCCTTTAAAAACATTCAGCATACAGTCGGCTGAACACAGCTCTTCTCAGAGTCTTCCGTTACCACTGGCAACAGGGGGAGATAATTCCACAGGGGAAGATAATTCAACATTAAACATGCAACAAGATCATAGTACAGAAAGTCTGGCTACATCTGTAACTTCAAACAGTATGGGCAAATAGCTTTAATATAACAAATCACAGTATTATATACATGTGTGTGATAAGGATTGACGTATATGGTCATAATGTTATAAAACCTGTTAATACATTCTAATGCTTTCATATAATGGCTGCCATCTTGGTTGTCGTGGCACACAAAATTTAGGAGCAGTAAGCCACAGACTGCCATTTTGGTGTGAGTAAATGCCAAATGTCTGTTTTCTTTTTACGTAACCAACAGGTTAGCAGTATGGTAGAGTCGTTATGTTATGTTATTACAATCAGTGTGGCTGCACGTAGGGCATTGCTATCCATGCTCAGTCTTCTGATGCAGCAGCCTCCTATGTACTCCTGGTAATTGTTCCCATTCAGAGCTGTTTATAATGTTCACTACTTTTACTTCAACAGTGAGGGGCTTTTAAAAAAAATAACTTGAGCTCCCAGGTCAACCCAGCTTTAAATAGTACCAGCTAAAGATCCTGGGAAGTAGAGGTGGCCGCCCTGATGCTGACCACATCGCATACTGAGTGCCGATTGGACTATAAAATATAGGTCTAACCCTATATGCTAAATGCACCTGCAACGATGAAAAATGGTCCTGATTTTATCTTGACCTCGAAAATGGTGCAGACAGAATTCATCAGGCTTCACATTCAAGTCACACAGTTAGGTAAGTATCAAAAACTTGTTGTAACCCACCAGTCTGGTTCTTCATTTTTTGCATTCACCGGCTGCAAAATCTGGTGGAAAGTTCTGGTTGTTGGTCCACTTTGTTCTGGTCCCAGAACTTAAGCTTTGTGTGCACATCAGTTCTACAGGTCTGACTTATTTGATGAAGACAGTTGATTCCTCCTCCCCTTTCAGGCAGTTGCACTCTGACTTCGAAAGAGACACCCCTAATGAGTCTAAAAGGGATCTGTTTCTTTCCCCCCACAAAAAGTAGAGCCCCAGAACCCATACGATGATAGACTAGTCCATACAGAAGTAGTTATATCAGCTTTGTCCATGCTTCTTCCCTCTTGAATTATCTCGTTCAGGACCACATTTATGTATATCAGATTAGAGATAAATGAGTGCAGAATAAATCTAAACTATTTAAGTGTCAGTAATACTACAAAATATTATCAAAATCACACAACATTCAAGGATGTTAGACACATATGATTACTGCATAAAACAATTGTGCTTACCTTACTTTTTTAGTTGTTCAGCAACACTGCTATCCAGTTATAAAAATGCATAGGCCTTCTCTTTTTAATTATGTATCAGCTAGTCTTTTTTTTTAAAAACAATTAATTTAAATACTTTGGATTTTATGATAATTTTTGTATGACGTCAAATTTCACAACAACCACAAACGGGACAACAGCTGATTGAAACATTGATCCGATTGAAATATTTTGTTCAGTGTTCATATCCTAAACTTGTTCTTAACAGTTTGTTTTCCCCACAAATGGAGCAAAATTAGATTATGATACGCTGATTAACTGACGACTAGTCCGATAGGGATAAATTCTTAAAGCCAGTTAACTGGCAACTAGTCTTCAAAGAGTTAATGCCAGATGGTCCTCTCATATGGTGGAGACATTATGGGTACACATGACTAGTCAGTTGGACATCTTTTACAGAACATTGCAAGCTAGTTTGTTGGCTGTAGGCAATTTTACATTCAGGACTTAACATATGACACTGAATGGTCAGTGCTTATAACATTGCTGAAATCAACATACAGTGCTTTTGCTGACAAATTGCTTGCAGCTGAATCGAACCCAGAATGTTGCAATTATGAAATTGGTAGTGTAGTTCCCTACTGAATTTGTTGATTTATGCATTGAATATGTGAATTTACAATTGCCATTTTGTTGTGTTTAATATAGCATCAAGCATATTAATTTATTGATGTTTGTTTTGTTATATTTAATGTTAAGTATACATGTCACTGACTTTGATGAGGTTTAGGATGAAGAGGCAGGCATTGACTAGCATGGGTAGGGACACAAGATATCAAGGATACCCTCGGCATGAAAGCTCTTAAGATGAGAAAGTTGGCTAGGGACTGAGTGGCCTTCCACTGAGTGCCAGGATTAGAATGATGTTCTGCAAATCACCTTCTACAGGGTATTAAGGATATGTGCTCGACATTTGAAAATTGTCTGTCTCAGTCATTTTATTATACTTAACCCTTTTATCCAGGGAAGCCTGAAACCCTGCACCTCCGGTAGGGTTCTATTTCCCTTTGAATGCAGCTTAGCCTGGGCTTCTACAGGGAAGTGTTTCAGAGGCATCTAGTTATTGCCATTAGCTGTGTTTGCACATGCACAGCATTTGGGAGTCAGGATATGAATATATTTACACCCCCCCCCCTTTTCCAAGTAGTATTTATGTTTTTTTTTTCTTGCTTTTTTAAAGCCTTGTTGATGCCACATTTTCCCTGAAGCTTCAGTGTCACAGAATGAGTCACCAGATACATGTTTGAATATTTTGTTTGTTCCATTTAATGCTTCCCTGTCTCCATATGTATTGGTTACTCTCTTTATTAATTTATATATTTTGAGAAACAATATAATAAAAAATATGGACAAATATTTTTTTTCAAAAAGAAAAAACAAATCCATCAGTAACCTGTGTAGAATGGTATTAATTTTTTTTTTTTGGGGGGGGGGGGGGGGGGGTATTTTTTGTTGTTGTTTGTTTTGTTTATAATATGTATCTTTTTTTTTTAGGTTGGGATTCCCACAGGTTCATGACTCATTTTTTAGCACTTTTGGGCAATAGGGTTAATATACATGTTGGACATTTGGCTCTGTTAATTTTTTTTTTAATATCTAACATACACATTAGATATTTGAATATGTTCATCATATTCATTTTGTTATGTTTTGTATTTAATATACATGTCAGATGTGTGAATTAGTTATTGGAATTTTGTTATATTTAATATAATTGTTAGACGTGAATTTATCATGTTTATTCAATTATATTGAATGTTAATTTTGTTATATTTAACATATATGTGAGACTGATTAGAACATTAGGTTCATTTTGTTATTATTTGATATACATTTTAATAAAAGATGCTTGTTGTATTATGTTTAATATACATATCATGTATTTGCATCAATTATGTTCATTTGATATATGTTATATACAAGGAGCATTCAGAAAGTTATGCCCCTTATTTTTTCTCTGCGAATAATGAAGATAGAAACATAAAGTAGTCACACTTCAAATTTGAAATGTTAATATTATATATGCAAAATGGCAGCTTAACACCCCCCCCCCCTCCCCCCCCCAAGTTAGGGTGAGGTCAGTGTGTATTGAAAACAGCAAATTGTTGTAAAATATTTTGCGGAAAAACCAATTATGGTAAACTTTAATAAATATTTGTTTGCTGTGTATAGAAGTTATGCAGTCCACAGCAGCACTATTAGTCGCCGGGTTCAGAGAATTACACTTTTTCCCTGGAAATGCTTTTAAAAAATGCACATTCCCCTTCCAAGACAGGATGCTGTTTATTAGCCAATCTTCCTTGATATTCAAGATGTCAGTATTTCTAAACATAACAATAGAATACAAAGGCATTAAACAGGCATCTGAGTTTAAATATTTACCGAAGATGGGAAATTGGATAAAGAAATTGACATTAGATGCAGTAAAGCAAACCAAGTATTGGGACAGCTAGCCCCCTCTTACAGCATAAGACAATCCCAATCAGCACAAAGAGACATCTTATTCAAAGCATATTTATTCCAACTCTGTGCTACCAGTGCCAGACATGGTCACTCACAACAAACCATAAAAGAAAATTAGTAACCACGGAAATGAGATGTCTGAGAAGGGCTGTAGGAGTGACCATAAGAGATAAGATCAGAAATGAGATCATAAGAGAACAAGTCGGCACAGAACCAATTCTGGATTACATACAAAGACAGCAAGTGAAATGGTTTGCCCACTTAGAGAGAATGCCTTGTGACACCATACCATACAAAGCATACATGGGAAGAGAAGAAGGACGTAGAGCACGGGGTAGACCAAGAACAAGATGGAAGGATAACATCAGAGAAACTCTACAACAGTACGATGTGCCTATGGTCGAGGCAGCCAGAAGAGCTAGAAACAGAACCTTATATCTCCCTCGACACCCACAGCGGTAAAAGAGGAAGTGAAGAAGAAGAAGAAGAAGTATTTCTCCTCTTCTTTGTCCAAGATATTATGACAATCTTTCTAAAGCTTTTCAGCTCAAAAGCCCCTATTCTCCTTCTTAAAGACTGGGAGATAGTCCAAGACTTACATCCGTATGTTGCTACAGGGAAGATGCATGCTCTCAAAGTTATAATTGTGATGTCCTTGCTGGTACTTGACCATAGACTGTTTAATCTTTGCATTGCCATGGCCATCCTCCTTTTAATTTCTGTCAAACAGTTTCCATTGCTCTTTATTATAGAGCCTAGATATTCAAAGTTTGTGACAGTTTCAATTTCTTCATAACCAGAACAGGAAAATCCGATTACATGCAAGATGAACATGGCCTTGTTCTAGTTTCGCATGAAATCATAGAAGTCAACGGAGACTAGAAAATTATGATGTGTAAAAAAGGCATATCGAGTTATATTGTCAGGGTATTTAAAAATTTACCACTGTTTGCCTGAAACAGAAAGTGTATGGAGCATTACTTTCTGAACGTCCTGCATACATGTCAGACAATAGATCCTTTTTATTTGTGATATGGAATATACATACACACATTTGGGTTTTTGTATTTTCTATACTGTATTCGGCATGAGAAACCATCATGTCCATTTTGTGGGCTCATTTTTTTCTCTTTCAAACATCTATTTTACTTAGGTGTCTGTAAATATGGTTTCATTGCTTTCATTTATACATTTGAATGTCACATACTTTTTTTTTTTTAATAAACACTTTCAGTGTCAGGATAGTTGTGGGGAGTTTTTAATTGTTTACATAATTTCTGCTGCAGTTTAATGTCATATTGAGTTTAAGATGATTTCCAGTCATGCTTA